AAATTACATATGTATTAATTATTTATTGTTTTTATCATTAAATATTTATTATTTGTTATTAATATTTTATTAGAATTACATACACACATTTTTATATAATAATCAATTTTATACTATTATTACTGCAGCCAAGTCTCGCAAACGTTTAAGGAAAAGTAATTGTGTTGGACAACATTCAGCYTGTTTTTCAAACCACTCAAGACCAGTTTCAAATGCAGCAAATGCTTCAGCAGATGTTGGTCTTTTTGGCGTACTCTTACTTTTCATGTTCGGATAACAGAACGTTCGTATACGCTAATTATAGTTCGGATAATAGAGGGTTCGTATAACGGAAGTTCGGATAATCGAGKTTCTACTGTATTAAGTAATTCAATTATCATTTTCTTAAATTTTCATTTGTTATTATAATGTGAATTATATTAATAAAGGATAAATAAAAAATATATTTATTTGATTTTGTTTATATGAATAAATATAAACATTTTGAGAAAAAACTTTAATTTATTATAAAAATAATAATCCATAATTATTATAGTTCAACGAATCACAGATGTTTATTACAGAGCWTACAGAATATAATAATTACGTTTGAAATTTGGAAGATGAGCTAAACTTTTTAAAATTAAAAATTTTAAAGTCAATGATAAACTTTAAACAGAAGTATTTTATTTTTAAAATGGTAAAAATTACAATTTTTTTACACTGATACTTTTTTTTTAATAGATCCCTTTATTCTTTTAGCATTAATTGATTGTTGTTTTCTATAGCTCCTTATGTATTTTTTGTATTCTTTTTTCCTTAACCAAGTGGGATGTTGAACTTTTTTTGTTGTTTCCTTTAATGGTTCTGCARTTTTATCCACTTTACTTTTTTCCTCCTTCTCTAGTTGAATTTTTTCTGCTTCTTCATTTTTAGCCTTAACTGTAAAATTTGATTACAGATTTAAGTGTTATATATTAAATTTATTATTATAGTTTCCGACTAAAAGCTAATAATAATAAAAAAAAAAATTATTATTGGTTAAATATTTTATATGTACAGTTATGAAACAACTTTAGAGTTGTGAACATTACATTTAACATGGATTTCATCTTAACAAGTTAAAATGTTAAACATTTACAGTTTATTTTTACTTAAGATATTCATATATTGGTATGTAGTCTATGTTAATTAAAATGTTTTAGTGTATAACACTGAATTGCTTGTATATATAGGTAAAGGCATAATAATTAGATTACTATTTAATATTTTACGTGCATTTGTCATGTCAACATGTTTTAACATTTATATTAATTATTAGATTAGATTACATACTAAAGGTCAATGCTTTAAGTACWAATCATCTTAAATAAAAATAAACTGTAAATGATAGGCATTATAACTTGTTAATATAATATGAGTGAGACATCCATATTTATGGTAAATAGATCCTTGTTATTGGTTCAAAATGAAAAAAAATGAAACAGAAATTTAGGTCTATAACAGCAAATGCCTCCATAAAGTAAATAAATATGCTTTTTGGTATTAATATACCAGTTTTTATGGGTAGTAGTACCTKACTACACCTTCCATTTAGCAATAACAATATTAGTAATTTGTTGATAAAATGAAACTGATATCTATCAAATCTAAAATATTTCTTTAGAGAAAATAATGATAATGACTTTGGAGGGGTAATAACTAATAAGATATGAAATATGATTTATGAATATACTTTCATAGTTTMATGTACCTATAGACAACTGAACGGCATAATTGAAAAACATAAAAATCGGGACCATCTCAATTCTCAAATGCCTATATTACAAGAGTATTTATTTGTAMATAAATTAAGTATAACCTACAAGCGACATAATGAAAAAAAATAAATTACCTAAACAAATGTGTTCAATTTCACCGCCTTCCTTGACTTCTATTTCTCCGGCGTTCACCAGCATCTTCTTCAACCTATCTAATTCCTTAGCGCCATATCTGATTCGCTTAATAGCCCTCATCTTCCGCCGCCACTTACTCCTTATACTCTTGGCCATTATAATTAGGTCGACGACAAATAAATAGTATGGTATTTATGGTAATAATCTCTGACAAGAGTCAGAACTATGAAATACGATTAAACGAATTATATAATGACGGAGTACAAGAGCACAGAGACAGAGTACACCAGATGAAAGCACGTGAGCAAAAGAAACATTAATGACAATTATCAACACAACTCACAAAATGAGTTTATCAACCATCCAATGTGGTATCAAGTTATTCTGTGGTATCAACACCATAGATAATATATACATGGATGGGACATACCGTGTATTCTACTGTGAYCGAAGAGCATACTAGTTACCAAAGTGGTTATACATAATTTAGGTGTGATATCAACCAGAAATGATAACGAAAACAATAGTATAAATAGTTTGGTATATTAGTTATATAAATATAAAATAATGTTTTGGTATAATAATATTAGGTAATAAGTAATAACTAAAAATAATTCATTATAATAATAATGGTTACAGAATACAGATATTTCCAATACAAAATAGTCAAAAGTCAAAATAGGTACGTGATTTCTTATTGGTGTACTTCGATCTTATTTTTAATTGTTCATTCATTTTTTTGATTTCGTGAAACATTCTAATGTCCAAGTATTTATATATTATTAAATTTGTTAATTGGTCTCTATGAGTATTTATAACTGAATAATTTTCCTCGCAACTATCAGTATCAAATAGTATTCTATATTTAAATATACTATTTTTAATTTTATTCCATAGAAATGTAGAATGTTGTTTATAATTAGTGCTGACTGGATGACTTCTAAACGTAACCTAACCTAACCAGTATCTGTAACCGCATATAACCATTATGGTAACTAGTAGACT